TATATAATAAAAAAAATCACCATAATGCCATTTGAGAACATTTATATTCACTTTGTAAAGATAATCAAAAATAATCATTTATATGAGGAAAAGCTAAAACATTTTATATTAAAATATTAATTTTAATAATTATTATTTAATTAAATAAAAATTATATAATTAATTACAACATTTTAATTTTTTTGAGTTATTAGACAAGACTATATTACAAGTATTATCTATTTCACATTCATTTAATGGCTAAATTATATATATTATAAATAAAATATATATTAAATATTGTATTTAATAAAACACATATATATTAATTAAATTAATTTAATTACCATCCCATTAATTAGATTTTTTAAAAGTTGACGATCTATATTTTCTCCAATAGGTAAATACCGATGCCCTGAAGTGCCATGTTTCTATTGTGTACAACCAATAAAATAACCATTATTTATATTGGTATTGTTTGGCTCTAATGAAGAACTTGCTATAGAAAGTATTTGAGTTCGTCATTTTCTCATTACTAGTTCACCATTGCATTGACTACCATTTTCTTGAATATATGGACAAGGTAATTTCTTGGCCGCTAAATAAAACCTAAAATATTAATAAATTATAAGTATATTTTAATAAATTATACAAATTATATCATTAATAATTAAATAATAATATTACGCTAATGTATTTGTTTGAATACTTCGTAATTCTTCATTATTTTTGATTGATTGAAATATATTTGAATCAAAATCAACATTGGTATGTGTATAATTATGAAAATAATCATGTGCAAAAGAACAAATTTTAATTCCTCCGCATGTTCTTTGATCTTTGATAATTTGAATTTGCTTATTATTCGGGTCTTCAAAAAATGGACAATTTACATATGAGGCACCGCCTTTTCCTTCTTGTGAATATTGATCTAAAAATATAATTATATTAAGATATGCTATATATAAAATTTTAATATAATGAAATAAATATCTTACATCACGAAAAACAGTTCGAGCTTTATTTTTCATCGCTTTTTGAATTTGATCATTATTTGTTGTTGAATAATTATCACTTTTAATAAAATTATAAATGATCGCATAACCTTTAGGATCAGTAGGTGGATATTCAACAGAAACGGCTGAAAATTGAATATGCTTTGCAGTTAAACTTTTTGTAAAATATGCAATTTTTTCCGTAAGATCATCACTATTATTATTCTAATTAAAAAAAAAACTTTAAATTTTAAAACTAATTTGGTCAAATTTAATTTAAACATAAACCAGTTTTAATCTTTATATATATAGTAACCTCCTGCTCATTATCGTTATTGTCATCAGACGTTAAGTCTACTATTTCAACTGAATCGTCGCTCTCAGTGTCAAAAAGTGAAGACATGTTTAATAATTAAAGGTTTGGATAAAAATCAAAATATAAATCGAAGTGTAATGATTAAAAAGGATAGTTTTTGTTGCATGAATACTTATAATAAAACAATTCAATTCCTGATTCTATCTTTTGATTCTTATTTATTATCTTTAAGGTATGAGTACACACGTATGAATATGCCTGGTCTTTAATATAAGTATATATTAGATAATGCGCATAATGATATCTATGTGATTAATCTTGCGTATGAATCTAAAAATCATGCAATAAATAAATATATATAATAATAATGTGAACAAGCCACATAATACAGATATGATAAGTGCTTATCACAGGGTTAGCTGTAACTAATATTACTATTATCTCTCTCAGATGAATTTCAGTTTAGCAAACACACTTGACACTTTGAACACATTCCGGGTTCGTATTTTGCTTTTTATATGTCATTATTCTTATTAATAATCAAAAGACTAACTTTCGCTCTCTATTCAACATTTTCTATTTATATTAATTTATCAATTACATCACTTTGCCTAATATTTACTTATACTATTTACACTACTAATCACTAATTCGCAATCGCATACATGGTACGTAATTACCATAATTTTGTCCAGCATTATCATCTCCATTATAATGCTGCCCAATCATACTATCACACAACACACCAAAGTATATTCCTGAACTTCCTTCACTCTTCTTACTTCTATATACAAGCCATTATTAATAAACATTCCTCTTACAAAGTATAGGGTTGTCCAGAGACTATTCGACAGTGCTATCACGGGTTTTTCTTTGACAGCACTTATAAAATAATAATTAAAAAGTTTATTAGTCAAAAGTTCCCGTGATTAGAAGTGTCAGTAAAATTTGGTTCAAAAAAAATGTACTGGTTGTTTCAGATAACAAGTTTTTTTTTTAAAATATAAGCCTAAGAAATTTGCTGCAATTGATTGCCAAACGGCATTATAAATTTTAGTTATACATAATGTATAAAACTATATACTAAAATTATACTTAACGTATAAAACTTAATACTAAAATTATACATTATATAAATAAATTCTAAAAAAAATATTACATACTGTATAATTTAAACTCAAAAAACTATACATTTTATATATCTACTATACATAATATATACCACACTATACTATACTTATCTGATAAATTATACTATACTGGTTTACTATATACTCATTATCATGTGCTCCGGACACATGCATTAGCCTAGTATGTTAATCATCTTTTACCTTTATTGATTCAATAGTTATTCGATAAACTATTGAATCAATAAAGGTAAAAGGTGATTAACATATAAACATGAACCGGTACTCAGGTTTGTTTTTGTCCGATTAAAAATGTCGGAGGGTGCTTTTCAAGACAAAAACCTATGTTTCAATCTTTTTTAAGATTGACCGTTTCAGAATTTAGGAATTTATATGTGGCTATTACTAGCAATAAATAGTGCTTCTAAGTGAACTTGGAGATATTGATTATTTTTGATTATCTTTACAAAGTGAATATAAATGTTCTCAAATGGCATTATGGTGATTTTTTTTATTATATA